TTAAAGAAATTTTTTTATATCTCTGGCACTGTGGCCTATTTTTTTTTTTTTTTTTGAGACAGAGTGTCTGTCACCCTTGGTAGAGTGCAGTGGCATCATCATAGCTCACTGCAACTTCAAACTCCTGGGCTCAAGTAATCCTTCTGCCTCAGCCTTTCAAGTAGCTGGGACTACAGGCACATACCACAATGCCTGGCTAATTTTTCTATTTTTTGTGGTGATGGGGTCTTGCTCTCAATCAGGCTGGCCTTGAGCTCAAGCAGTCCTCCTGCCTCGGCCTCCCAAAGTGCTAGGATTACAGGCATGAGCCACTGTGCCCGGCCTTATTTATATTTTGTCTGAACAAAAAGGCTGTCTACTTTATTAAATTACATGCAGGTAATATTAGATCAGTCTTTCCTTGGCTTAATGTCATTACAGATTCCAAAAGGAAATAAATTATTCTTAACTTTTAATTATGATTATTGTTTTTCCCTGTACTCTGAGGATTTCCATATTGAAGGAAAATCCTTTGACCAATGGTACTGTAAAGATTAATAAGAGGACTTAACATGATAAATTTATACTTATTATCTACTTTTGAGATTGTTGCTTTTAATAATAGAACTAGCTTAAGGATTGAGATAATAGGTTTTTTTAAGTCAGAGACACTTAAGTTCAAATGCTGACAATTATTAGTGAGACTTTAGGCGAATAGCTTAACCTCTCAGGTATTCAGTTTTTTTTTTATAAAATGCAGTGGTGCATCTGCTTCATAGGGTTATTGGCACTAGTAACTAGTATATAAAGTACTTAGTACAATACCTGCCACATAGTATGCCCTTGTACATAGGTGCTACCATTTTTATCAGCTGATTTAGCTTTTGATATTATTTAATTATCACCATCACCACTCCACCATACATAAACCTGCAAAGTGAGTGTTGATATACATGGAGAAACTGAGGCTCAGAGCAGTTGAGAACTGAATTTACAGGCTTAGGGAAGTTTTTCAAAATGTTTTGTTAATTTTTTTCATTAACTTGTTCTCATGTTATTGTGGTTTCATTATACTGTGTAGAGAGAAATCCTATAATGGCAGTATAAAAGGTAAGGTAAGATATGAATTCTAGCAGTAATAAAACATTCTTATAAATATAAGAAATATTTATAAAGCTATTTTGGATAAAACTATTAATATACATTTAGGTCTAAGGTATGATAAATAGGAGTAATTGCTCTAGGCCATTTATGTGCACTATGCCCCTTTCAATGGTGCTAAAAATAAAATTTAGAGTTTCCTAGTCAATGAGAAACTGTTACATTGTTGACAAATCCTTTTCGTATTACAACCATTATTAAAGCAAAGGAATTAGAACTGCTCTTTCCATTTTACTGTAATCTCTTTTGGTTTATATCACCATTTTGTGACTTTTTTTCCTATTCTGTGGTATCTTTGATGCTGATTTTTAACCTAATTTCACATTTTGGAGGTGAGTGGGAAAAATGTGCTTTGATCTAGAATTCTGTTACGTTTGCAACTAGTTAGTTTTAAACCATTTTTATTTTAGGTAGTGAAACAATTTCGTGATGGTGGTTACAACACATTGGTTTCTACCTGTGTTGGTGAAGAAGGTTTGGATATAGGGGAAGTTGATCTTATAATATGTTTTGATGCTCAGAAGAGTCCAATTCGTCTCATACAACGAATGGGCAGAACTGGCCGCAAACGTCAAGGCAGGATTGTTGTTATCCTTGCTGAAGGACGAGAAGAACGTGTAAGTAGTCATATAGAAATATGATTTGACTCTTGAAATTTCAGAAATATAGCCCAAAGACAAATATCAACATTTTAGCATTCAAAGTTCAACTAATATTCAGGTAATTATGGTTATTTTTCCTCCTTTGTGTTTGATTCTATCTTTTCTTATAATTAGGAGAATTTTTGACTGGATTCAGTTTCCTCATTTTTATCTATATTAAAAAACACATTTTATTACTTAAGTATTAATTCAGAGATACATAGATACAAAAACAAATATGTATTACTTTGTTTTACTATTTCCCTGTGTTCCTAAGTCCTATGTTTTCTCCTTTTTTTAGTTTAGTTTTCCTTAATTACAGTGAAGTGAGAATGATTTTTACATTTTAAAGGGCTGCCAAAATAACTAACCAAATAATAACCAAAGAATATGTACCAGAGACAGTATGTGGCCTGCAAAACCTAAAATATTTTGTTTCTGGCCGTTTAGGGAAGTTTCCTGACACCTATTCTAAGTGATAAGGAACTTGAATTATATTCATACTTTGGTACGATTGTAGGTGACAGGCCTTTCTAAATATGATGTTAATATTATTTTGTGTTTGATACACTTAAGTATTAACTAATTTTTATAATTCATTGGGACTAGCTCGGTGGCCAAATATACAGTTTCATATTAAAGATCTCCTCATCAACTGTAATAGTTTTTAAAAATTAATTTAAACTGTTTTCTATACGCTTTAAAATCATCTTGAAAAATGAATTTTCCCCTAATACTTTTCATGTAAGTATAGCATATTCATGTATAAAGTCCAATTTATCTATAAAGTGATTCTAACAAATGAAATGTTTGATAGCTTGTAAAAGGCTGTGTATTATCAATTACTGGAATTGGCTTCTATCTAGTTGTGTTGCCTAGCCAAGTGACTTAACCTCTCTACTAAGGTGTTATTAATAGTTTTCTTATCTGTAAAGTAGTAATAATGGCCCACATTTAATAAGCACTTAGTCTGTGCTTTGCAATATTCTGATTGCTTCAGATTCATTGTATTATTTAATTGTTAGCCTCTTGTAAGAGGAGTAATGCTTTTGGTGTAGAAGAAAACCGAAGTATAGAGAGATGAACAAACTGAAGTAAGGGAATAGTTAAAAAACAAAAAACAAAAAAACAAAAAAAACCCCAAACCTTATACTTTTGTAAATATCAGCCTTATTCGAAAACAACAGGATAATAAATAAAAAATAGATTTCCTTTGGGTAATATAGTTGCTGAGGGCTGAGGTTAGCTTTTCTAATAATAAGTTTTGAAATGACTTCCATTGAGTTAATCTAATAGTTTACTGATAGTTTTTTTGTGTGTGTTTTCTTTGAGACAAGGTTGTGCTGTATCACCCAGGCTGGAGTGTAGTGGCACAATCATAGCTCATTGCAGCCTCAAACTCGTGGGCTCAAGTGATCCTGCTGCCTCAGCCTCCTGAGTAGCTAAGAATGCAGGTGTGCACCACCACACTTGGCTATTTTTTTTATTTTTATTTTTTGTAGAGACAGGGTTTTGCTATGTTGCCCAGGCTGGTTTTGAACTCCTGGCCTCAAGTGATCCCCCTACCTTGGCCTCCCAAAGTACTGGGATTATAGCCAGCGCACCCGGCCACTGACAGGTTTTAAAATTCAAGACAACAGAAATTCTATTCTCTAAGTATTTAAGTAGATCAGGGTTTAATTTTATGTTTACAATAAACCCAAACTAATATAATAGTTGCTTGTTACGGATAAATGATTATTAGAGAAATAATATAATTTGACATTTTATATTTGTTTTTACAGATTTATAATCAAAGTCAGTCCAACAAAAGAAACATTTATAAAGCTATTTCAGGTAACAGGCAGGTCATTCATTTTTATCAAAGAAGTCCACGAATGGTTCCTGATGGAATCAATCCAGAATTACACAAAATGTTCATCACACATGGTGTCTATGAACCAGAGAAGGCTTCTCGGAACTTGCAGCGAAAGTCATCTATGATTTCCTGTAGGAATGGTAAATAAAAAATTTTGCATTTGACATATGCATTTTTCCCCCTGTTCTTTGGTTAGCAGGTCATATCTTGATATAATATTTCTTCTTTGAAAAACTCAATGAACATTCTAGGATGCTATGTGTGTTCACATTGGAAAAGATAAGAGATTTATGTTGCTGAGGGAAGGAGACAGACAATGTCGGTACAGGGTGATAGAAACTCAGTGTTGGGGAAACTAAAAATATTCTACCCACCCATCCTCTCTATAAAGTACAGAAAAGAAAGAAAACAGTTTTATTGAATAAGCATGAAACCAGATTACAGTGTGCATTGTAGACTATCTGCTAAGAGTACAAAAACAAAGAAATTTTCTCCTATAATATACCCCCAAGAAGTTACAGTCGTTTTCATACATGTTCTCAAGATTAACAGTAACTTGTCATCATATAAGAGGACAGCACCATTTGCTGTGTATTCTTTCATGGTTCATCCCATATTCACCGGGTAGCCATTTGTATTAGTTAATTGCCTTTATCTAAAGGAATAATAAAACTTATCTATATGACAAGCAGAAATTGACAGCTCCTAAAAAGATGCCTAGGCTAAACTCCCCTGGAGACTGGCATATAGGGCC